GTTTGAACTCAACTACATTCTAACTTTACATGGTTTTGCCATAGAGGATTTCTTTCTGTTGTCTGAACTCAACAACATTCTAACTTTACCTGATTTAGTGGTTTGATGATTTCTTTCTATTGTCTGAACTCAACAACAATCTACCTTCACCTGGTTTTGTGGGTTGAGGGTTTCTTTCTATTGTTTGAATTCAATAACATTCTAGCTTTACCTAGTTTTGTGATTGAGGATTTATTTCTGTTGTCTGAACACAACAACATTCTAATTTTACCTGATTTGATGGGTTGAGGATTTCTTTCTGTTGTCTGAAATCTACAAAATTCTAACTTTACCTGGTTATGTTATAGAGGATTTGTTTCAATTGTCTGAACTGAACAACATTCTAACTTTTCCTGGTTTTGTGGGTTGAGGATTTCTTTCTGCTGCCTGAACTCAACAACATTCTTACTTTACCTGATTTGGTGAGTTGAGGATTTTTTTTGTTGTCTGAACTCAACAACATTCTAACTTTACAAGGTTTGGTGGGTTGAGGATTTATTTCTATTGTCTGAACTCAACAACATTCTAACTTTACTTGGTTTTGTTATAGAGGATTTCTTTTTGTTGTCTGAACTCAACAACATTCTAGCTTTACTTGGTTTTGTGATTGAGGATTTCTTTCTGTCGTCTAAACTCAACAACATTCTAACTTTACCTGATTTGGTTGTTTGAAGATTTCTTTCTGGTGTCTGAAATTATCAACATTCTAGTTTTACCTGGCTTGGTGGGTTTAGGATTTCATTCTTTTGTCTGAACTCAAAAACATTCTTACTTTATTTGATTTGGTGGTTTGATGATTTCCTTTTGTTGTCTGAAATTAACAACATTCTTACTTTATTTGATTTGGTGGTTTGAGGATTTCCTTTTGTTGTCTGAAATTAACAACACTCTACCTTCACCTGGTTTTGTGGGATGAGGATTTCTTTCTATTGTCTGAACTCAACAACATTCTAACTTTACCTGATTTAGTGGTTTGATGATTTCTTTCTATTGTCTGAACTCAACAACAATCTACCTTCACCTGG